TATGTCCAAAAGCAGGGGCAGTTACGAACCCCTTTTCTAACCTTCGCCTCGTGATAAATCGACCCTAGGCAAAGAAAACAATACATGTGGTCTCGTTGTCTACATCCAAGAGTTCCTTTGGAACTAATTGCCATATGATCACAATCATTTCCTTCACCTAACCCTAACTCTAGGCGAATTTATGGTTATCATTTTCTTTGAGTCTGTTGTCAGCAACTTCTCATTCAACACCTAGCGAAGAATTTTCATTCGGACGTTGTTTTCGGCATATGGTATTTCGAGGACTGGACTGGAGTGGACTGGACTGGACTGGACTGGGCTAGTAAAACGCGGACTAGTAAAACGCTGACTGGTAAAACGCGGACTAGTAAAACGCTGACTAGTAAAACGCAGACTAGTAAAACGCGGACTAGTAAAACGCGGACTATTAAAACGCGGACTATGAAAACGCGGACTAGTAAAACGCAGACTAGTAAAACGTGGACTAGTAAAACGCGGACTAGCTAAACGCGGACTAGTAAAGCGCTGACTAATAAAACGCGGACTAGTAAAACGCGGACTGGTAAAATGCGGACTAGTAAAACGCGGACTAGTAAAACGCGGACTTGTAAAACGCGGACCTAGTTTTTCATGTTTTTCAGTGTTTGTAAATCGAATAAAACTTAACGGTAACGGACTCAGCATTAACAACAACAAAAAAACAATTTCATACGAAGGCGATCACAAGACTTAATAGAGAGCCAATTTTAAAAAATTTCTCCATATGATGTTATGCCAATTCATTTCGACGGTTTAGTGAGTGACAATCCATGTTTGAACATTAAGCTACAAATGGTTTTGACATGCGCCAGATACAAACGATTTTATAAGTTTAGTCTAAGGAAGAAATTTATTCAGCACCAGTTCAAAATCCTAATTTTGTTTCATCGAATCATTCAGTAGCCAGTTGAAAAATTTTTTTCATGATTTTTCATGTTTGTAAATCGAATAAAATAAAACGGTAACGGACATAATAAAAAAGAAAAGTTTATACAAAGGCACAAGACTTAATGGCGAGTAAATAGTTGTATCCAGATATGAACGTAATTGTATTGTGGGTCTTACTGCATAAGTTTGGAGGCGCGAGCCGACAATTTTCGTTTTCTAAGCAACTAAGTTAAGACAATTTTACTTAAATAACAATCTGAGATGCAACAAAGATCTCTGAACAGTTCAACGACATCAATAACAATTAACGGTCTACCTAGAAATAAGAGGTATCATAACTGCTAACAGTAACGGACAGTACGAATCTACAAATGACATTTCTATTGTAATTTAGCGTAAATGTAATCTGTAGTAACAATCCCAGATGCTACAGCTCAACGGCGTCAATAACAATAAATATATGTTATTCACCAGCATTGCCACCTTTACATATGAGCTGATCAATATCCACCTTTAACCACTCTCTGGCAGAATACCTTACACAAAGGAAAGTACTCAGTGAACATTGCAAATAAGAATGATAAAATAGCCGAATTGAGGATTGAGATTTCTGACCTCAAAGAGCTCACTTTTATACAAAAGAGATGAAAAATATAATTGTGTGCTCTGATTCTAAAAAAAGCTGGCTTAAATATCAGCGAAAGCAATACAAACAGCTTTAGACACAGAGCGTAAAAACACTTTAAAATGTAGGCTTGCAGCCAAAAAACCGAGAAAATGAAAATTTCTTCAAAAACCTGTCAGACTATCAACCATCTGACAGCCAAGTCAGCGTGCTATCAAAGGGTCTCAAATTCATCCCAACGGCCGTGACAGACGAATTTAAAATCAGGCCAACTTTTGCGAGATTTATTCGCAAGACGAATGCGCCTCCGTTACACCTTTAACGGACAAAACAAAGAACCACTTCTGTTTCATATTAAACTAAGACTAGGTTTACACTAAAGGAGAGTTTTCCGGATTTGTAAATGTTTCCGGATTTATCAATTTTGGAGTATTCGGATTCGTGGGCGTTTAAACTGAAAGGATAATCGGATTCCTGACCGTTTACACACAACGACAACTCCAGGAACATTCGAAATGGAATGGTTACCAAGCCCAGTGTTGTTTCGCCGTTCGATCGACAAAGTGTAAATGCCTCCCCAAAAAAAGTTAGAGTAGATCCAGATGCCACTGAGGCAAATTTGAACTGGACAGATGCCAAGCTATCTACGTCGTCGGCGATTAAGTGTGGGTGACGTTAAACTTCTTCACAATAATAATTTGCGTTTCCTCAGAAATACTGCGGTACACATGATGAAATTTATCGCCTGAACCTGCAACAAGATTAGGCAACCAGAGACCGCCAGCAATGTTAGCACCAGATCCTCCATTTTGGTTTCACCGCAAACTCAAAAGATTGCAGGCGGAAATAATATCCGGATTCGAGAAAAAAGTGGTTACACGACAAAACTTTGCGGATTCAAACGTTATCGGATTCAAAGTTCCCACTTTAAATTCCGGATTCAAAATCTCCGGAGACACGACCAAACCGAGGAGTTTTTATTTCGGATTCGTCCACTTTCGTGTAAACGGCAAAATCAATCCGGTACTAAAACGTTTCGGATTCATCACGAATCCGGAACAATTTCCTCTAGTGTAAACCTAGTCTTAATAGCGTTANTAGGTCTAAAAAGTCGACATTTCCTGACTGACAGTCAAACAGTTCTCAAAAAAGTAATATGTGCGATTCTCTGTGCAGCGAACAAAGAGAGTTGTGACAAAGCAAAGCATAAGTTTGTTGAGCCTTTGACGTCATGATGACGTTTTTGCGGGCTCGGCTGGAAAATGTTTTCAGCAATGGCGGACGATTTTTGGACGACTCTGAAGCGGTAAAAATTGAACATCGAAGGTTTATTTTGAGTTTTTTTTATGGCAAAAAGGGTCTTAACTTGACCCAATTGAACATTATGTAAACAATTTAGGCCAAAATAAAATGGTCAATTTTCGTCTCAGAGGCACTTTAAGTTTAAATCAATTTACAAACACGGAAAAACATGAAAAAATTAGGTCTGCGTTTTACAAGTCCGCGTTTTACTAGTCCGCGGTTTACTAGTCCGCGTTTTACTAGTCAGCATTTTACTAGTCCACGTTTTTCTAATCCACGTTTTACTAGTCCGCGTTTTACTAGTCCAGTCCAGTCCAGTCCAGTTCACGAAATACCATATGCCATTGTTTTCAGTCGGATATCAAAATATGCAGAAAAGCATGCAAGGAAGGAAAAAAATGAATAAACCTGCATTATTAAAAAAATTAAGTCATGTTTTGAAATGGGAAAAACTCTCCTTTTTGGAATTTTAATAGCCTACTATTCAAACATTTTTGACCACGTTTACGTTTGGCCATTGTATTAGCTTTAGCGACGGTCAGTATTTATTGCTCAAGAAGAATACATTATTGCATTCCTTAGGCAATTACTGAAAGGCGAGACAGAGTAATGTCAACTATGTTTACGATACCTAGCACGATCAATGATAAATGATTGTTTCGTGTGCAAGTACATACCCTACGCGAATTCAGATGATTGCAAGTCCCTTTGAAAACTGAAAATTGACTGTAATTCTGAACGAATTCGAAGACAGAGGTGAAAAGTCTAAATGTGATCGATACAACTTCTCCGTGTATGAAGGCTTGACTGTTGGTAAATATTTTTTTGCGAAATGAACTGATATTTTAGAGTTGTCGATGCTAAAGTTCTTGACCACACAACTTCCACTGCAAAAATATCCATGACTGTGGTGAGTTGTGGAGCATGAGAGCAGGTTCACACTTCGGTAAATTTACTTAGCGAAGCGTTCAATTGAGCCACAATCGATGTTTTTTCAGGTAGTGAAATGCTGAGTCCACCCCTAATTCGTTTTATTCAATTTCAATACACCTGAACACAATAAATGTTAAGAGATTTCCACAATCTGTAGAAGGAAAGGCTCTGAGACAGAGCCGGATATCCAAATATCCTGGTATCTTTCTTCATTCAAGAACATTACAAGATTACAGCTTATAAAGGTTCTAAAAAATTGACGTACATTCTGAAAAATTACAGAAACTCTTACCTGACCGGCCGTCCAACTAAGTGTGCTTGGAGACTGTTTCAATTCAGCCTTTACTCGATCTCTCATCTGCTCAATGTCCGGGGACTTTAATCCTTCGCATGAGACTCCAAGCGCCACCATTGCTTGAAACATTTCCATGAGATCATCGATTTCATCGATGGTTTTTGTTTTCTTTTCTGCCATGAAGACAAAATTTTCAATAACAGAAATTAGGAGGCAGGTTCAGTAAAGGGATGACAATCATATGGGTACTAGATTCGCCTTATACTGCTTCTACAGATCAAAATGGCGTCCCTACGGTGTGCACAATGCGAAATTGACTTTTTCCGGGAGAAATGGCAAGTAGAATGGAGGGGGGTAGGGTAGGGAGGGTAATTCGTTTTGCATTTCTTGTCATGCTTCCTTAGCGGCACATGTCAAGTTATTTGGGGGCGCTAGGCGAGTTTCAAGTTCTAATGTCATGGCAACATCCATGTGTACAGTATGTTGATGAAAGAGAATCAAAGCCTTAAAGATCGTGTTGCTAGAAAGTAGCTGCGTCGTTGTTGTTGTTCTGTCCTCGAAAGATGACAATGCAGTTAATAATGAGATCTTCAAATATTTCGGTTCTGTCCTGGTGTACCGGTTCACAAGGGAATTACCATTGTTCTTTCTTTGTTTAGGAGTTATCAGTTAGCTATTGTGTATTGTTTGGTCTTTTGTATTGGCTCTTGTGAACCGGTACACGAGGACAGAACCAATATTTCTGTGTTCAATGCGTGGTCATGAGGATACAAAGGGATATGGATGACTGAAAGCCAATTCATGGAATTTCTAAACAGATAGAGTTATATTGCTTGTACGGAACGAAAGTCTCGGCATAGTAAGTTGTGGAAAATCTACCACTGGGTTTTATTCGTTACTGAAGAAGATAAATACTATACTGGGGAGCAGTCGTTTTTTTTTTAAGGCTAAGCTTTCAGTGGTCGAGCAGACAGAGAATGTTTTCATAAATACTTTAAAAAATGGTCGGAATGCGAATTAAGTCGTGCACATTTTTGCATGACTTCAAGTTTACGTGTCAAGATGTTAGAATGAGAATGTTAGAATGTTTTAATGAGACGATAACGTCCAAAATGATGACGGGCAAGACTGAAATGGGCCGAAAAACCGAAACGATAAAGATACCATGTCGCCGGAACAAACACTTCGCGCTGATAATCAGATGTTTTGAGGTGCTATTTCTAATAAATAAGCACGAGTAATTTCTCAAAGAAAAAAAAATACCTTTTCGACATAGCCTTTTGAATTTTGAGACAACCGTTCCGGATAAACAGTCAAGAAAGGCAAACAAATAGTCAGTCATGGAGCCAATATCTGTTGCTAACTACTCAGATCATTTTTAGAGAAAAGATATTCATATCAGCACTAATATATTTGTTTCTAATATGCTTTCCGAATAGAATTTATTCCCGCAAAGAAGCATTTAATGAAAATGTTAGAGTTCAAACCAAACCGAGGTCAAATTGAAATCAGTCTCTTCTTTACATATGCAAAGGCTGAGTGCGATTTTTTTGTCTTCTTTCTCGATTTCTATTGTAATATAGGAACTCAGGTTTTAGCCCTACCTTCAAAAAGCACATTTCCAGCAGTGAGTTGAGAAATTTCCTCAACAATATGAAAAGTTATTTAGATTCCAGCCAAGAGATGACTCTTTAAAAGGGGAAAATTTATTCCATGTTTACAATCCAACGAGTAAATTGAGCACATCCGATTACATTGAAGTTCATGATGAAAATGATGGTTCGTAGATTTCCTCCTATAGACGTGAACGGGCAGAGTGGAATAACTGTTGATTTAGAATGAACCTGACTTGCTGTAACAAAGCCAACACTGATATATTATTCATTAAACAACGAGAACTCAGAAGTGTAATCAAACGAGTCACATAATGGTGAAGGGCTAAATTTTAAGTCAAGAGTAACGCACTTGTGTGAAAAGTGACGCACGTTTGAATCTTAAGGATTGCTCAAACGGCGCATAATAGTCGATGATAGTTGATTCTCTTCAAACTATCATCAACTATGACTAACTATCATTCGCATGGTCAAATGGCCAAAAAAGTTCGTGATAGTTGATGATAGTTCACCGGCAGTCGCGCGAGCAAAGTCATGCGACCAGCTAGTTCCAGGCTCTTTCCGCGTAAAATGTGAACACTAACATGGCTTCGCGTGAGACAAACAAACTTGTTGAAGTATGAATTTATCACGAAGAAAGAGGGCGGCAGCTTGCTTACTAGTAATCGATTTTTTGGAGGAATGTACGGAGAATGAATCTGGAGAGCGTTGGTGGAAGAGAGGACGGACAAGGGAATGGATTAAAAGGAGAAACGAAAGGGGGATGTTGACGAGTTGACGCCTCTCCAGATTCATGGTTTTCAATACTTTCTTTCTCATTATTATTATCTTGGGTATAAAAACGAATTTCTGAAGCTGAAGCTGAGCCTTACGAGAAGCTTTTGGCGGCCATTTTAAACGAGCCGGCCGATTTTCGGGGAAAACATCTGACCAAAAACTATCATGAACAATCATAAACGTGGTCAAACGAGAAAAACTATCATCGACTATCATGAAGAATTTGAACAAGCTCAAAATGAATGATAGTTGGTGATAGTCGATGATATTGCATGATAGTTGGTGGTCAAACGGAAGCGCGCGCTTCAACCATCATCGACTATCATCAACTATCATCGACTATCATGCGCCGTTTGACCAGGGCCTTACAGTTATAAAAGATGACTTAAGTTAAGATGATTGTACAATCACCAAAATATTCATTTATCGTGTCTGTCAGTAGAAAATGTAAACTGCAGAAGGCAAACTGCAGATTGCAGACCGGGTACAAAATTCAGAACGCAAACTTTAGTCGAGGTATTTGTCTGTTTGTTTTTTTTTTTTTTCATTAAAAAAAGATTTCTCAAAGCGGCTTTCCAAGATGCTCAGTTTTTTGCCTCAGTCGTAGCTTAGCTTGAACTGGGCTAAATGAGACTCATTTTGTGTTACGGATATCGAGACGGATTTGATCGATGACATTGACCCATAGCATTTCCCGACTGAAATAGAAAATACAATTAAAGGTTTTGCTTAGCTAAATTCAGGATCAAGCGATACTATCGTAATCATCGCAATCTTCATTCAAAGTCAAAACCCCAGACGATTTTATTTTGCAACGCTCCCAAAGAAAATTTGCTTTGCAATCGCTCAGTCAGGAGACCACTGAGACATAAATCCTTAAATCAACAATTTTCAAGTGTTCAAAGGAATTGAAAACTTAGCAAGTCCTGACGGCAGGGCTACATGTATATCACGTAATCCTCGGCCGTTTGATGATTGATTTTTCCGCCACATGTTTCTAATGTTGTAAATGACTCAGAGATTATTTCTATTTCTAGCCTAATCCGCTGGTTATCGCCTTGAATCTTCGACAAATATGGCATCACGCGAAACGAAGATAATACCTGATATGTTCAAGCAAGGTATGCACTTGTAATCTCTTGCACAGGACTAAAGACAGTGGAAGAGATAAAAGACAAAGTGATGACCGACGGTATGTCCTGCTTCAAACGCCTCCTTTGGGGCGGAAAGTCAGGTAAGTGTTTATCGTGTCTCAAAGGACTTATCATTGGTACCTTTTCTGGGTTATTTATTAATCGTAATTGAATTTCAAAATCTACAGGGGACATTTTTCGGGAATTTTACAAAATTTAAAAGCATGATGCGTACATTGTCCTTAAAGTGCTAAAATTGACCTGGTGATGACCAATTATGTTCGAGAATTTTGTCATACTTTTGATTAATTTCATAAATGTTATGTTATACCAAAACAGTATAGTCCACAAAAGGATAGCGAACTAATCTGATCATGGAAACACGACATGCAATTTGGAAAGCCATGTGAAACTTAGGCGAAAAAAACATCAAAGGCAATCTACAGTTTTCTCACACTATTAAGTTGTCCTGTACACGCCCTAGTCGTCAGTGCCGTCCACTGTTTCTCTATGCAGTTCAATAGCCTCCTTAAGGCAATGCGAAGCTGATGGACGTTCCTCTGGTTTTTTGCTCCAACAGCTCTCCATCAACTCTCTCCAGCGGCGTGGGGGCTGATTACCGCCTTGTACATGTTCTGGGCGTAGGCCCTCATCCACCCTGGCAAACAGAGCTACAAAATTTGGTATTTCAATGAAGACCTGCTGTCCATGCCACATCTCCACAATATCATGATCATCCCCAGGCTGTATATGTCTGCTGTGCTGTCAAACACCTTAGAATGAAACACTTCCGGCGCCATATAAACAGGTGTTCCCGCCAAAGTTCCTGTGATCTGGTCCAGAGCCTTGGAAACGCCAACGTCGGTAATCTTCACTGTATTTGCCGCTGACAGCATTTACAAAAGGTGAAGACAAAAGAAAAAGAGGACTTCATTGAAGTAGAATGATCTTGCAATATATCATGTTCATCAAAACGGAACAGAATGTGTTTGAGAGTTCTTTTGCAGGACTGTTCACTTAAGCTCGCGTAAAAGGAAAGATGATTTTTCCATTACTCTACTGAAATATTAATTCGATAAAAATGGCATAATGCTAGGCAATTTAATACTTTTTTTTTTTCGTTTCGTGCACCGAAGAGATGTCGTGGCCGGTAAAAGAAAACAAAACTGAGACTCTCCTATAAGATCAATCTTAGCATAAAAGGCTTGGTCATTAATCCAAATTTTACAAGGGCCAAAGTGTGGCTTCAAAGTACCGAATGAAAATTTCGGTCTGATACATGTGGGTAGGGCGTGTATGATATTTTGCTTATAACTATTGAACTAAACAACTTTTTCATTACTTGGACACTATACTGTAGTATAGTTAGTCCATTACGACAGGTCTTTACCGTCTCAATCTTGTACACACAAGACGTAGGTGAATTATTCAGTAGAAACTTGAAAGAGGGGCAGGGCGGCTTTCGCTGCTCTCTCCTTGATGAAGGACGTAAGATTCTGTTTCTCCATGTGTGAGTTATTAAACACTTCTTTTTTTGTCTTTAAGTTCCCTGTCTTCGATTTTCAGTCTGGGATTGAACGTTACTGTCAAACTAGCAATAGCAAATATATATTTCGTTGTAGAACTAGTGCCCACGAGATAACTGAAATGTCACCGTTTAAAAGCACTCAGGATGAATTTATGTTATCGCTTAGTCAAAACAAAATACGGACTACGGACAACGATTTACGAACTAGGTAGAGATTACCGGCAAGAGTGCAAAATGCTAACATCAGACGAACTGGGCGTGAAGTATAAGACCCAGGTTCTAAAATGTCAACTTTGTGTTCTAGTTATCGAAACAACTCACAAGGGACGTTTTCAGGCGTTCAATGATATTTGCGGTAGACTAAACACTAAATGTTTTCTGCGCAAAAATAAACACCTCTACTTTCTGTTCCTCTGAGCCGTAAAATTGAGAGAAATATTTTGCTTTAACATATTAGAGTCGATTCTTTTACGAATACCTATGAGGTGACATTTTGTAGATAACAACATTCCACAATAGACAGACTTTTCCAAGATACGAAGCTACTTTTAAATTCCATCATGTACTCGAGCCAGTAGGTAGTTTAGAACTGCCTATTAGTGATCACACGATGAAAGCGTGATGGAGAGCAAAGATCTATTTTCAAGTTTAATCTACGCTGCAGGCAATTTTTTTTAATCGTCTCGCTTAGATCTGAAAGTTGTAAATCTACGAACATAGAACGTGTACGTTACCGGTAAGGTATCAATCGGGCTTGCATAAAGTAAACTTATAGGGGAAACGTTTGGGTTCTAAGACGGGGATGATAAGTTATTGTTTCTCCATTTTGGCCTTTCTTGAGAAGGTGACAATATGTTGACAGCTTGATAATTAATTGTGAAAAGTTATGAACCAATTGAACGTAAGTAATGGGTATCTTCACAGGGGTTATGACACTCCTTACCCCTCATTGGCGGGTAGCTTTCATGATCTCACCCTCCTTTTCTAGTGCTGAAGAACAAACACAACACAAGCAACTGTTTGTCGTTCTCTAATGCTCATCCCGTGCAACCGAGAAGGGAACATGCCGACTAAAATAGACGAAATCGCGGATTTGGAAGATCTTTAGAAATACTGGAATTGTTTGATCTTAGCGACGAAGGTTTAGAAGGAACATAAGACATCAAAGCCAAACTGAATGAGCATCTGGCAGGTCTGGAAGGATCTTCTCAACGGAAACTTGAAATTGTAGGTGGAAAATTTCTCCACATATCAGCGTATTTCTCGTCAAATAGCGCCAGCAAAAAGCGTAAAGCTAAAACGAACGTTTATGATGATGAAGAAAGGAAATTCTTATGCTAATTACGGTATAGTCGTTGACTTTGTTGTGTATGCTTTGAATGTCTGTACCAGGCGCGTGGCGTTGTCATTTTTTCTAGTACGCACGAGTACATATGATCTAGAAAACTAGGTTAACTGAGCGAAAAATACTGCGTTCTTTAATTATTTCTTGTTCGAAATAGTTGTGTAAATACAAGCAAAGAACAAAACGTCTTGCACTTATTTTGAGCAAACTTGGTGCAAACAGAACATTGTTTTCAAATTTTTCTGGTCACTTCAAGTACGCACGTGCGTATATGCGTATTGGACGCCTGTGTACGTTTACTGCTGTGGAAGGCTATGACTTGTGGAGTATTACACAGTATTAATATCCGCCTTAGAAACTGGAATCCGTTCAGATTTTATTTTGTTTATCCTTGAAGGCGACATGTCGGTCTACAGGTAAATAATTGCAATAGGTAGAGACCTGGAGCCACTTGCGGATACAATTTCTAATTATGCGTTATACTTGCTCTTGAACGTGATAAATTGACAGATCACGGTATCTTTCAAAGGCGGAAGATGGACTCCGAAACGAAAACCAGTGTATTTAAAAACTTGACTTAAAGCTGGTACGAGACTGTCATTTGCCGTTAATCATATTCAGACTGAACTAGTCCGACCATATGCTGGTGGGTAACAAAACAAATAATGCGGTCTCATAACGTTTGAGCAATGTACTGGACCATTAAAGGAGCGCACATAATACGATCTTACACGTGTTTGTCCGAGACCGCGGCTCCTTTTTTCATTGCCAAAATATTGTGCTATTTTTTTACTTTTTCAGCGTCAATTACAGATGTAGTTGTCTTTGATAATTTGCAGGCACGCTAAAATAGCATATTACCTTTACTTCTTTTCTCCGTTAACCTAAAGCATCGGCCTGTTGGCGTTCTGGAATGAAATAATGTTACACTTTTTAGGCAGATAGCATACGTTGTTTCTGTTGAACCTCTCAATTTATAGATCGTTTTCACGTGACGTCGCATCATTTCCGGTCGCCATATTTGTGTACATCCCTTGGTAATATTATATATGCAAATAATAAGTAAATAAACAGTTTCTGCCTGTAAAAATGAATACTACAGCAACGGAAGCAAAATTAAGTACCAATACTGATATCAGTATCTATCCTCCTCTTTCTGAGTACGCCAAGAAGCAAGAACCACGCGTAAGGCAGCGTTATTTGGAAAAAAGTTCGGCGATTGCAATCGATTACATCCTTATTCAGAGTAAGAATTTTCAAACAGACTGCTTGCCTCCAGTTGAATCTACAGATCTCTTTTTCTATCTGGTTTTGAAAACGAACTTCTACACGCAACAACAGTTTAAGGCTTTCCGAAGCCTGGAAGCCTACAATCAGATGGTTTCGGGATATAACCAGCGTAAAAGGCCACATCATCGCAAACAAATTTGTTGTGTTAGCCAAGGTGAGACATTCGCAGAGAATGAATGACTCTTTGATCCCTATCTGGATTATAGCAGAAAAGGAGGGGACCGTTTTATCCGCTCGTTGCCTAGGTTGTAAGGCCGGGCTAGCTGAATCATGCTCGCATATTGCAAGCGTTTTATTTTACGTAGAAGCGTGGACGAAGATAAATGGAAAACTTGCCTGCACGCAAACTCACGATTGCGTTCCAACGTCAACAAACGTTCTTGAGTCAGTTTGTGCGCCATTCTCTGTGGGCTTCTCTAGACTTTCTGCTTCGCTACCTTCGAAGTTTAAATCTAAACTTTGCTGTCCCGATTCGCTAAATTTGAAAAACTTCTCCTCCCTCTTAGTCTTTAGTACTTTCACCCTTTTGGCAAACGCCGGCTTCTACACCAATTCGCGTTCCCTCGCCCTCTTACTTCTTTTTGCTGCTTGTTCTCGATCCGTACGGCCAGTCTCCTTATTATGTCCTAAATTTAGAGTTGGAACCCAATGAATGTTAAATTCATCCCAAGATTTTGCGGCCTTTCCAGAAACAAAGTGTTTCTCAAACACGCGATCGTTTTCCAAAATGGTATTGGTGAGATCGTCTCTGCCAACGGCAGAAATCCAGCGCGATCTTCTTTCTGCTGACAATTCTCTGGCTTATTTTACTTGATTTTCAATCATCGAAGGTACTTTGGCAAAATATAATCCTTTATCCCTTCCACTTCTATTTCCACAGCCGACAATCACGCACAAAACCACCTTCTTTCAAAGGACGCAGTAGATTTGCATGCGATATCTGTACACAAATATGGCGGCGTAGCAACAGCTGTCACGGTTTTGATCACGTGAGTGAAAACCATCTATTTCTTACTTTTTTTTAGACGGAGTTCAAATTTTAAATCTTACGTAATCAATGTTCACATTCAAAACTAAAGATATTAATTTTTTCGGACCACATTTAGTATATGGACAACCAGCTCGATTCATGTTTTCCAGTTGTTTAAGTCTTTCGTGGACGGGACTGGACTAGTAAAACGCGGACTAATAAAACGCGGACTAGTAAAACGTGGACTAGTAAAACGCGGACTAGTAAAACGCGGACCGGTAAAACGCGGACTACAAAACGCGGACTAGTAAAACGCGGACTAGTAAAACGCGGACCAGTAAAACGCGGACTAGAAAAACGCGGACTAGAAAAACGCGGACTAGCAAAACGCTGACTTGTAAAACACGGACCTAATTGTTTTCATGTTTTTCCGTGTTTGTAAATCGAATAAAACTTAACAGTGACGGACTTCAAAACAACAACAACAGAAAATTTCATACGAAGGCGATTACGAGACTAGATGGGGTGCCAATTTTAAAAAAATTGTCCATTTGATGTTATGCCAATTCATTTCGACGGTTTAGTTACTGAGAATCCCTGTTTGACCTTTACGCTATAAAAGATTGGCATATAACACACAGCCATATAATAAACATCTTATTAACCGAGCTAGGTCGGTCTGTATGGGAGAATCATGACCTCGGTCGCTGGCACAGACCTCACTGCGTTCGGTCTGTACTGGCGACCTCGGTCAAGATTCTCCCATACTGACCTCCTGCTCGGTTAATAAGAACTAGATATCAAAGCGCTAGACCAATAGCGGTTTTGGGAAATCACATTTCCCAAAAAAGGTAGTAGGTTTTGCCGTTGCAGGCATGTTTATTTGTGATTAGGTAATGGAAAAATATGCTTTGTAGATGGCATCAGGCATTATACGTGTAGTGCCTTTTTCTTTTTTTGCACCAAATGACGACTGAATGTTTTCGTAGATTAAACAATATTATTGTTTGCTTTTGTGGTGTGAAACAAAGTTGT